GTTCTTTAATGTCCCACACTGTTCTTTAATGTCCCTCACTGTCCTTTAATGTCCCTCACTGTTCTTTAATGTCCCCCACTGTTCTTTAATGTCCCTCACTGTTCTTTAATGTCCCACACTGTCCTTTAATGTCCCTCACTGTTCTTTAATGTCCCCCACTGTCCTTTAATGTCCCTCTCTGTTCTTTAATGTCCCACACTGTCCTTTAATGTCCCTCACTGTCCTTTAATGTCCCACACTGTCCTTTAATGTCCCTCACTGTTCTTTAATGTCCCTCACTGTCCTTTAATGTCCCTCTCTGTTCTTTAATGTCCCTCACTCTCCTTTAATGTCCCTCTCTGTCCTGTTGGTTCGGTTCTGTTGGATCAGAACTTTCCAGCACCTCATCAGGAACTTGTCTCTTGGACTCTGAACCGGGTCGAACCGAAAGTCAGACGGTACTGACCTTCATCACTATCATCATCATCACCAACGGCAGCAGGAGGAGGAGGGGCTTCATGACGAGACCTGTCAATCAAAAAGCAATCAGCTCCGCGTATCCTACACGTGTCCGCGCGCGCGCACGCACGCGCCTGTAAAGTTTCCTCCGAACCGTCCCGGTGAGTTCGGTCCGGACCGGGTCCTGCTGGGACGAAAATGAGCCAAGTTCACGGAGGGAGCGCTCGCTGCGCCGCGGGGGTGTTCGGGGTGGGCGGGGTCAGGTGTGTGCGAGCGCGCGCGGTGTCCGTTTACACCAGAGATGTGGAGCTTAACCGTTTCAGAACCGGACCGGACCGCAGCAGAACCTTATCCTCAGGTTTCTGGACCCTGTGGGACTCTGTGGGACCATGTGGGACCATGTGGGATTCTGTGGGACTCTGTGGGACCATGTGGGACCCTATGGGACTCTGTGGGACCATGTGGGATTCTGTGGGACTCTGTGGGACCCTCTATGGGTCTCATGGCCTCAGGTGGATCACGTGAAGGTTTCTCTGATCCAGATGTGTTTATCTAGAACATCTGTGAAAACTTCWAGCTACAGACAAAGAGTTTCAGGTTTGTAGTTTCAAACTGGACCAGAACCGGGCAGCTGCCTATCAGTCTGTGAATGTCAAAGGTCATCATGATTTACCCTGAAGGTCAGACCGTGCAGTGATCCCAGCAGGCCTCAGTCAGCAGGTGAAACGTCAGAGGTCTCCAGAACCATATGAGACCAGCAGACCTAAGAGGTCTGGGTTTGGACTGGTCTGGGTTTGGACTGGTCTGGGTTTGGACTGGTCTGGGTTTGGACCAGGTCTGGGTTTGGACCAGGTCTGGGTTTGGACAAGGTCTGGGTTTGGACCAGGTCTGGGTTTGGACCAGGTCTGGGTTTGGACAAGGTCTGGGTTTGGACCAGGTCTGGGTTTGGACCAGAGGATGTATGGATGCAGTCTTCAGCTCTGCTGGAGGTTATTTTTGGACGTTTTGTTGTCTGAACTCATCAGGAGGCGTTAATGAATGGAAGCCCCKCCCCCTCCTCAGCCCCGCCCCCTGGTCTCATTGTTGTCATGTTTATCTTTGGACGCCACACGGTCACCTTCAGTCTGCAGAACCTCTCAGGCTGCATGTTAATGAGACAGACTCCCATCATGCACTGCAGCAGCTGCCAGTGATCACTGACCTGTCCATCATCATCATCATGACCATCATCATGACCATTATCATCATCATCATCATCATCATCATTATCAGCATCATCTTCATCATGACCATCATCATGACCATTATCATCATCATCATCATCACCATTATCATCATCATCACCATTATCAGCATCATCTTCATCATGACCATCATCATGACCATTATCATCATCATCATCATCACCATTATCATCATCATCACCATTATCAGCATCATCTTCATCACCATTATCATCATCTTCATCTCCATCATCATCGCATCGTCGTCACCATCAGTATCATCTTCTTAATCATTATCATCATCATCATTTTCAATATAATAAATCATTATCATCTTCATCAGTAACATCATCACCATCAACATCCTCATCTTCATCATCATTGTCTTCGTCGTCATCATCTTCATCAATATCATCATCATCATTTTCAATATAATAAA